ATATACACCAAGCAGAAACCAGACACAGCAAGCATACACTGCACACAGATTTCATTTTCCTCAAATACAACAAAGTCACCACCAAAATGCCCAATATATTTACCACACATACAACATATACACAGAGCATGGGAATTACATACACCCACACAAGCCACACACAGCACATATCCTACAAAAACCCCCATACACTACAAACACAGCACTCATATCTCATAGAGGAGACAATCACCACTCACACACCCCAGAAATACATCCCATATACATCTCACACATACCACACATTTATGTAACACACTCACATTGCCAAACACTCACCCAACACCTGCAGACATGCACACCACAAATACGAAATACTCACCACACCTACGATGCACACCACAGACATCACACATGCACCACCTCATCCACAATGCACACACCTCATAAACCCACATACAGCTCACAGATGCATTAACCACACAAACACCAGAGAAATTCCAAACATACCACTACAAATAAACCCCAGTAACCGGACACACATTCCCCATAAGAGTCACAGCACACGTTCAATACCACCACATGTAAATGACACACAGGGGCCACACGTATACCACAGTCACACATGCAGCACGCAAACACATGAACACCACACACAACACACAAAGTACACACACACCAAAAAGACACCAAACATTAACAACACCTACACCATGGACATGCCACACATAGGACACAAATACTCACTAAATACGCAATATACAACAGAAAACACCACCTACCCCCCACATTTAAACCATCTGTAGAACAGACACACATACCAGATTCATATCACACAGTTGATCCATTTACCACATATACATTGCAAACAACACATACATGACGCATATGACACATATACCACACATGCCTACACACCTCCCATAAACCACACACACAACACATGCACACACATATACCACACCTAACCCGTATCTCAAAAACAAAACATACATGTACAAAACACAAGCACACCACAAAGATACTACACAGACCTATCCCAAAACATGCCACATATTCCCCTCACACACCACACATGCAACAAAAATCACCTCATATCCAACACCGCAGACCCTGTATACACCATCCACACACCACCCCTATACCACTCACATACGCCTCACACACACCATACTCACCACAGGAATAGAACGTATTTATCACACATACCCCACACATATGCCAAACACACACACACACCACACAAAAAAAACATACACAAAGATACTATACTCAATATCTACGCACACCACACACGCAACCTAAATCACATGCATATACTACTACATATGCACAGATCACATATAATACATGCCACATATATACCAGAAACTCACAATGCTTATACCATAGAAAAACAGACCAAACATACACAGTGCACACACCTCATAAACCCACCACAGTAGACCACTTATACCACATAAAAAGCTGTCACTCACACACACACAACCATGCACACACCACAAATGCACCATACTCAGCACACACATACCACACCAAAACACACCGCACATACACCATGCACACAGCACACAAATCACTCACACACAACACATACACCGCAAACACACTGCACGTATACATACACACAACACATACATACACTACACAAACACCAAATAGACACCATAAAAAAACACATCTCCATCACACACAAGCCACACATACAACAGAGGAAACACACACTCCATACACACCACTCAATCACTGCAAACACACCACACCTATACCACACACACCCACATATTCAACACACCTTAGCATACCACACATACACCACACAAGCAAGAGACACCAATCAGA